AAAATTTTGCTCACGCCCTTCTTTGTCCTTCGTAAGAACTGATTCAATTTCAGTATTTATTATAATCGATTTATTATAAATTCGTAAATGTTATCGAGTTTGGTAATGTTTGCCTGCTATGTCTAAAAGACAGGCAGAAACTCCCAAGGTCTGTGCAGTAAATCTGCTTAGTGAACTGTTGCATAGTTACAAGGTGCGTACGCGTACGGTAGCCGTGAAAAATTGCAGGTTGATTTAATATTTAAGACGCGTACAACAAATGCTTTGTTTTGCAATCGCCGCGCGCTTATAAGTTAACCCGTCACTCACTATTACGCCCCGCGTTATCTATGTTGTAATCTGATATTACGTGTTTTTAGCGGTGTCTTGTCTTTTTTAACAGTCGCTAAAAGAACTCACGAATGTTGTGTCTAATTCGCGAATCCTAGAGTCTCATGACAAATTGTAGTATACTATTCTCCAAATCTTTAATAGAATGGTTGTTTTCAAATCTAAGTTACTTATTTTTATATTTGAACCACCCTTGTATAATCTTTTGATTAGCATAAGCATAACTCGTTCCAGGAAAATTTCGCTTTGAAACACGGCGAAGAGATTAATTGCTTATCTCTGAATTTTCGCTCAAAGGATGAATGACCCTAAAGTAGGACTCTATAAGCTCTTCACAAATTGAGTTATATTTCTCATTTTTCGTATTTCTATTTCTCCGAGTTCGTATTACTCATTTCCGTTCCTAAGTTATTCCTCAGATATCCATTTACGTCGATGTATCTCCGAGGAGTCTCGGTCAGCGACCAGTCAAGGCTCACATCTCATTTGAACGATCACGAGGTTGAAAGTTGAAACCACTTGCCGCGTCGACTCGCTATCTAAATTTGAATAATATTCATGGAAGTTTAAATTGGACTTCTGAATGGATTTCATATTTTTTTCTTTAATTGTAACGTTGGAAATTTGTATAGCTGTAGGTAATTTGAATTTCTGAATTCTTTGTTAGAAAATTATCGTGGAGTTTTACGAAATATATTCATGCTTAGAGATGTTGTAACTTATTTGCTTTTCGCCACAATGTGCTTAAAAAGACGAACACAAATCTCGCACAAATTGTAAGTTGCGGTTAGCCGTACGCTTGGACATAATGCACCTCTCCTTTACCGGGTACTAAACCTTAATGGTGCAAATGAATTGAGGTCTTGCTTCTCGATGCACGTAGAAAACTCTTGGGCCGTTCCAACAACGACATTGAGCTCAAGACATTGCATTCTGCCCTTGCTTCATTTACACAGTCTGTGTTAATATAGTCATACTTTGCAATTAGCTCGCACCTGCTTTATTTGACCTTTGCCTTCAGTCACGATATTCGCATTTTCTCTTTAAATATCTTATTGCTACCAACCGATCGGTAAATGCATTTTTATGAACGTATTCTGTTTGCTCATTGAAATCACTACTATTACAGATTGTTTTGCGGTTCATTGCTTATTTTATATTGTTGATTTTAAACTTAAAAGTTTAAAATGATATTGTTGTTAATTTATTTTCAACTAGCGACCCGCCCCGGCTTTGCACGGGTGCAATATGTATATACATACAAACCTTCCTTAAGAATCACTCTATCTATTAAAAAAAACCGAATCAAAATCCGTTGCGTAGTTTTAAAGATCTAAGCATACATACGGACATACAGCGAAAGCGACTTTGTTTTATACTATGTATTGATACAGAAGAGAAGGTTGAATAATTGATTTATTGATTTATTCAAAAACAGTTTGTATTATGTGTGAATTAAAAGCTTAAAAACGAATAACATGAGTAGTAGAAATTAATGATAAATTACATCATAACACACATCAGGTTTATCTGCCGGTCACAAAACTACTTGAGGTAAAATGGGCCCTCTTAAGTTTCTGAATGTCATGAATTATCCATTGTCGTTAATTGTTAAAACTAGTCACCTATTCACTTACAAACTGCAGCAACCGAACTTCTAACTTAAGATTAACTTAAGCTTATATTGTAATAAATTCTTATCGATATGTGACAAGTAACCTAGTAAACATAACTTATTTACCGCAGTCAGCTGATAGTAAATTTGACCCTAATGCATACATTTTGCGGTCACCATCATAACGTGCCTCCGTCTGTAGCGTGATAGCAAAACCTTTTCTAGGTACATTTGTGTTTAGGGCAAGTGACGTCACACGCTGACGTTTGAGCTGTGGTTTGGTCAATTTGTTGTGTTGTGGTAATTATCGCTAATGGTTATTGAATTTGTGACGTAATTTAGTTATGTTGGGTAAATCTAATAATAGTCCGACTGCAGGGACTCGTTAGCCTCGCAAAAGTGTTTACATTGATTATTATGCTTAATCACATTTTTGAGGGTTTTTGTATCTGTGCTTAGTTTTTTTATGGGATAAGCTGGTAAACGAGCATACTGATCATCTGATGATAAGCAAACGGCGTCAACCATGGACACCCGGAACACCAGAGGTGTTACAAGTGCGTTATCGGTCTTTTAGGGATTAGGAATTTGAGGATTGTTGGATATTTAAGGATTGGGAAGATTGAGAACGGGGGAAGGTAATTGGGCCTCCGGTAACCTCACTCACACGACGAAACACACCGTAAGCGTTGTTTCACGTCGGTTTTCTGTGAGGCCGTGGTATCACGATCGAGTCGGCCCATTTGTGCGGCAACATGGCTCTCCCACACTTAAGTGACATTCTATAACACCAAAATAGCATTATGTGTATGTTACAATCATTTAAGTAGGGAAAAAAGTGAGACCTATTTTAGATGCAAAAAAACCGAATATGAAGTTGAATGAGTCAGCCCTTGATCTGAATGACATTTAGATCAACAAGACTGTAATTATTGTGATATTCATTAAGTTCTTGTATTTAATTATCTTTTTAAAGTGAAATTGTAATTGTTTTATTATCTCTGGTCTACTATCAGATCTTGAATGTTATTGTGTGGCCGTAGTACGTTGGCCCTATCAGCAGTTGCCATGGCAACGCTACTTACCGTTAACCTAACGCTGCTCGGTCATCATCGAATAAGTTCGACGATGCGATGGTGTGACGCAACTTTGCGATAGAATCTCTGTAATTAAGAATGTATTTAAGGAGTTTAGTAAATGCTGCCAGTTGATTGATTCGATGAAGATGAAGCGGAATTGAGACGATTTAGAAGTTTGTGTAAAGAACTGATGTTTTAGGATGGGTAGAATTTTCTGGGAATCTTTTATAACTGAGGTTTGATTGTCATCAAACCTCAGTTATAAAATACGTAGGTTTTGATGTCTCAAAACCTACGTATAAGTTTGAGTTTATTCGTATAAGATACCTATAAGTCATTTTGTTACCTCTTAAACGTTACCATACACCGTTCACACTTACATGTTCACTGTCACACTACCATACATCAAAATGAAGATTTTTGGTTATTAAGTTGAGGTATTCCTCGTAGCGCTCCCATTTTCATGCGCGCCCATCCAAGCGCTCCCGTTTTATTCCTCTAAGCGCTCCCGAAAGGAGCGCTTTGAGGAACGATTAAAAATATTAAAATTGATTTCCTCGAAGCGCTCCCATAACTAACCTTTGGATAGAGATGGGACTTTACTAATTGAAATTATCGATAAGAACCAGGTAATAAGTAGAACACATTGTTATAATATCTCAATCCGAAAGTTAATCAGGGGAGCGCTTCGAGGAAATAAATTTTAATATTTTTAATCGTTCCTCAAAGCGCTCCTTTTGGGCGCGCTTAGAGTAAAACGGGAATACAACGGGAGCGCTTAGATGGGCGCGCTTCAAAACGGGAGCGCTACGAGGAATACCTCATTAAGTTCAATCAGACCTTTTGACCCAAATATCCACAGTTATGTCGGTAAGAATATAAAATAATGTGTAACTATCCACAGAACTTAGTCCTTTGATGTAAAAACGAATATCTACACAAAAACTTGATGACCTCACAATCTGATTGTTTCTGATTGAACCGAGATATTTGATTAGTGCTACTTGTTAATGTTCATTCGAGCGATAAGATTCACCAAACCAATTTCAGACTAGGGTAACTTTGAATAGATTACGTATCTAGAGAGTTTCGCCAAAACCCACCGGATTCTCAAACATCCTGTATCAACTGTGTCTAATTAAAAATTTATGTATTTTGGCAAGTAATCATATGCATAATTGCACATCGTAACCTTGTTTTGCTATTGTTAATATTTATTATGTACGCAAATAACTTGCATGTTAAATATTTTATTCACGTCGTTGTTATACTGAGTGCAATGACTGTTGCATTACTGTTAGAACCTCTGAACATATAGGTAAGTACATGAGTTACGCGGATAGCGAAAGAATACTGATCTGATGCGACGCACGCGTGACGGGAAAGTGGATTGTACGGGACCCTTTTTCTTTGTTGTTTAACTGTCAATCGGGACGTGAGGACTAAATTCTGCTACTCTCTGTGATGTATAAAATCGTTAAATAATGCTAAAAAGAGTTTTATCTGAAGTTAAAGCTCTTATTGCAAAAGATTCGGTTAATTTATTTTTTGTTTTCAATATTACAGTTCGAGATAAATCTATCGGAAAAGCGAAAAAAAATTGTGAAAAAATTAGAACAATTTTCGAGTTTGCTAACATAACCTAAGTTATATTGATGCCCCTTACAAAATAACTGTATTGATCTCCTCCTTTTAAAATCGGTTGAAAAATAAGCCACACACAACATTGATTGCCAATAAAAATGCGAATGTATTATTGATTTTGCGTATTAAACTTATTTTTAGATGGATGTGGGACCTGTAAAATACCCTTGTCATTCGATATTAATCATCCATTAGGAACTTTAGAAAGGTTCAGTCTAGACAGTAAGGAAACCATACGAATCCCAGGCGAAAATCCATCCAAAAATAACGAAGTATGTATTTTTAAGCATATCTTGAATTGTCTATTATTTCTTTAACATAACCTTGTACAGATATCACAGACAGGCTTATAGCGATGGGCTTTCCCGCCGAGAAGTTAGAAGGAGTATACAGGAATCACATAGACGAAGTGTACAGGTTTCTAGAGAAGATGCACAAGGACCACTATAAGATATACAACCTCTGCTCGGAGAGGTCTTATGATTCGAGCAAATTCCACGAGAGGGTAAGTACAAGCCTTTGTGTCTTTTTACTTTTTGTATTTCCGCCGGCACATATCCTGCCACAATGATGGATGTAAAGTGATTACTTTAATGCGTTGTCGTTAATCAAATACAATTACACGAACTGGTTTTGCATCTCAAGGTCTTATCCGCAAAACCGTGGAAACGCAAATTAATTATAATTTAGCTGTAAACCGAATTTGTGAATTCTGGATGACTGATTTACAAATCGGACCGTACTCAACAATTCAACATCCAGATTCCGCCACGAGATCTTTTAAACAATCTGGATTGAGCGCTAAGAGTTGTGAGTAAACCGAAATTTAATTCTGCGTACCTAATTGTTGCGATCGGTTTTTCGAAAAGCGTTATAGGAAGTATTTAATGAATATTGTAGTCTACGTCACCCTTAATAGATGTATGAGGTTTTACCCGCTCAATGAGTGAAGGAATCATTGACTTGATTCGTCACCCGACCTCCTTTCCTCATTCTGTTCCTAATGTCGGAATTATGTATAAGGTAGGGTTTGGTAATTGGAATACACTCTTACATACAATTACGTAAATCTTGCGAGTGATTTGAGTCGTTTACACGTAAATTGATGTTTGTAGTGTTGTGTTACTGTATTGTTGGGAATTAATGACATTCTGCCATCGATGTTCCTGAGCTCCTTACACTTTTTGCTTTGTTGTGATGACGCACGTTTCCATTAAATTCGGATTGCTGCTACGATTTGATCAAAACTGCTTATTTTTGTTGTTTTACAGAAATATGTAGAGTAGGTATATGCAGTTTTATGATTGCCGACAATGAAAAGGTGGTAGTTTCCTAAGTTATGTCTTATTAGTGCGATGTGTAGCAATAGGTACCTATTACTTCTCATCATATGTGACTAATGAATAATGACATAAGTATATAGGTACTGGTGGTAGTGGCGTGATGTTCGGTTTTATTAAATAATATTACATTTAAAAAGGTTATCTACTTAGAAGGGACTTAATCCTCGTTTGCGGTGTCATGTGCTCTAAAAATAACTTCACAGTTGTCATTAACGTGCAAATTTAAATTAGTTAATGCCTTAAAGCAATTAATTTTTAACGACTACACCTACAGTTTTGATAACAAAACGTAAGGTGAAACAATGTCAATGCAATCACCTCGGTAAATATTTAAATTGAACCTTTACATTATTTAATTACCCTTTTGGGTCAGCGACAGAAATCTCCCCCTACTTTTAATTACGTTTTTTTTTTCGTGAAAAATTCCGTCGGAAATAAGAATTTTGTAATAACCTCTTAAAGCGATTTTTTATGAATTTCGTTAGGTCATGAAAATGTATAGCGCTACAAGAGAGAATAATACGATGTGATTGATTCCTATTGAGAGAAAATCAAATTACCAGTACGCACTCTATATCTAGGTTATCAAGAACTCCGAGCGACTGTTATTTATGTTTTATATCCTTTATGTACGGAAGCTTTATATATTACATTTGAATATTTAACATGCCGCCCGTTGCGCTGCAGTTTCTTCAAAATGACCATGAATTACAACTCCAAATAAAATTTAAAACTCCCAATTCTTGATAGAGGCCATTGTGCATTCAAGGTTAAATTGTAACAAGTTTTTTGTTAATGCAATGTTGTTGCATAATCCCCATCCGTAATGACCCCTCCCCTTCTACATAATAAGTGCTCCCTGTGTGTTAACCCTCGCATTGTAACAAAGGACCAACGGTTTGCGGATCAAAAGACCACAATAAAATGCAGAAATATTAAAGTTTTGATGTTTTATATTCTATTCAGCAAGTGATGCAGTTGCTATTGCTTGCATACATAAATTCTTTACATGGAATGCCATCTGTCATGGAGGCAAAAATTTAGAGTATTTTAACTTCCCAGTGTTCAATTGAGTGCATTCGCCTCAACGTTGTCAAGATAACGTCCTTACGATTGCTTGGTGTCGGACCTACGGCGCTGTGCAAACATTTCAAGTTTTAGTACAGCCAATGTCACCACTCACCGGCGAGGGGTTAACTCTTACATAATTGTTGGCCGAAGCGTTATCTGCTGCAAGCTGTGACAACACAAATATGATTATGAATAGGTGGCGTGTTCGAAGTCACGCCTCTGACTCACACCTTGCGTTCGTGTGCTCTTACACGACTCGTACATCAACTCTCAAAATCATTCTTATAATTTCACCCCTAACAGCTATTAAAATAAAGACGAATTTTCCGTGATAATAATGACCCAATCACTAGTTGTCCGCATTACTGTATCTACCAAACATCAAATGTTATTTTATATTTAGCAATTTTGTCACCGAAATTTAACACTTGTATCAGCTGTTTTAATACATATGGTTTCCTTATAAAGCGGAATGGTTTTCAAAGAAATGATATCTAACAATTTGCGGAAGATTAAGTTTGGAATTGTTAAATGGTGCGCAATTTTGAAGGGGATTTTATGAAGGAATGAAGGTCGTGTTTGATCAATTTTGGCACAAAATTCGAATACGCACGTTATGTTGGTATTTTAGAAAAATTTTTCAAGAACCGAAATCGCTGGGAAATTATAATAAATATTAAAATTATGATACTCAAGGAAATTGTCACAATTACATAAAATATAACACGTTAGGTAGTTAATTGCATAATAATATTATGAGTAGATACAATAAAATTGTTCTAGTTGCTAGAGGAAGGAAGGAAGCAATATTTTTTAATGGCATCGCAAATATTTAGCTTTCGGCATTCTGGGAACTGCTACGATTTAATAGGAAGACAAAAGCTAGGTTTTTTATGGAGACCGATAGTGGTGTATGAGTCGACATGGACGGTGTATTCTGCCAATTTCTAAAGTGGGAGTGGCACGAGGGTACCAAAATAAACTTAATATATTCCTTTACGTTATTATAGCAATTAACTTAGTAACATTTCGGAAACGTCATTATCTAAAGCAATTTTGTAGTTAGATGGCAATAATTTCTATGCAAACCATCTTTTTTATATCGTAGATCTTAAACCATTGGTTGTAAGACTTACAATACGTTGCGTCTAGTATAAACTGGCCGCTTAGCAACAGCGTTTCTAAAAGGTGAATTCTAGGCACCATAAGTAGAAGACATGGTCGCCGTTGACGTACAGTCGTACACACAGTACGTACTATAGTCCTAAGGTCTTTCACAGCTGACTGTTAAGATTCTCGTTACAGTGACCTCTACAAACACCTGTGCATAACTTCTAGCCGGTTCTAAAGGCTACTTTGTCGTCTATCGCCACTGTACCAGTCAATATTCAATATTGTTTGACGTCGTACTAAACCAATACTTACCAGTCATATCGTATTATAGATTTATGTACCGATTTGAGATTCTTAGCAAATATCTCACTTGTTACGTGTTTGGAGGAATTTTGTTGGGTACCTAATGCAAGTTTTGACGATAATTATGAGTATCTGGTGATGACGTTGTTAGTTGCACAGCTTCTTAATGTTTAAGATTTCCGATTGCATTCTTAAGCCAAAAAAGTCTTCTCATGGCCTTTCCTTCTTCAATAAAAACGCTCTTCGTGATCATGATAAAAGAACCCAAGAAGCCTGTAAGTTTTAGTGTCCTCTATAATTGAAATGAAGCTCCCTGACAACCGCCAGGAGACGAGCCACGTCCGCGCTCCGTACTATCCAAGCTGTGTAACTCTTTGTTTTATTTCTTTAATTCGCGTTCGTTTTACGATCACTACAGAGGGCCCCAAGCATTTAAACAAAGATTAAACAATAAACTGAACCATCAATAAAGTTGATTTTATTTCAATGTTTTATCAACGTCTTCAATTCCGCTAACGAATGCTAGGGTACCTTATGCACGGGGGATTTGGCAGCTATACGGGTCACGGTGACGTCATCCTACCAACACACGCATTTTATGTATACAGTCTAAAAATGTCACAGACAGTGTTAACGTGCTAGTAAGTTCAATACGTTATTTATTATATAGAACAATGTGTGCCAACCATAGACATGTTAAATGGCAGATGCGTCATTCGCGCGTATTTATGTTAGTTGCGTCAAGTTTTAGGTAATTTATGTCTTAGGTAATATTGAGTCGGTGGTGGTCGAGGTAGTTACGACGGGGTGAGGTTAATGGGTCACCCACATTGTCATATTGTCATTTACAGTACATAGTGTCTATAATAAAGTATGTTGTAGGTTTGTAGCTAAGGACATTAAAATAATTATGTTCCAATTACTGGGTAGGTTGTGTAAGTTGTCATAAAACTACAAAAATCAAGAGTATTTATTAATTTGTAATGTTTGTCGCAAATGATTGTAATAATTTACATAATTGTTTGTATGTTATGATTATGATGTATTACTAACTACCTAGAAACAGCGTTTGCGTCTCTTCAGTTCGTCTATTTGCCTGTCAAACAAGCTGAATTGAATTACATCCAAATATCGTTCATCTATGTAACTCGTGGTTGTTATTCAAATCTGATTTGCCTCATATACAAACCATTTGCTATTTATGATTCCAATTTGTAATTGTAATTTTTGGTGTCAAATCCATCTTTCATCAATTCCAGTCCCGTTTAAGTTATGGCATCGACAGCATTTAACGTCAAAACCTGGCGTGCAATGACGCTGGGCCTGCAATTAGACTCAATAAATACTCGGTTTAGAAATAGCTATTCACAACTTCTCTATATAAATAGTAATCGTAAATGGCGACTACATTGCCATTGCAGTACAAGCCAAGTTTATAAGGAAATTCTCCACGTAATGATTATAAGCATTATTTTAATTGAGACCGTAATTTATCTGAAATGCAACACTAATGAGGGGCGACGACCCCGCCCGGTGGTGTAAGATAACGAATAACTTTGTACCCCCGTACACGATCTGATTACGGTACTCTCTTATTTGAAATGTTGCTAAATGTAAGAGTATCATTCAGTTGAAACGAAACGATGGGAATTGAACAAAGACAGTGTTTAATTAT